ATTTAATAATTTCATGAAATCATGATGTCTGGAGGTTTTCTGGGTAGTTTAGCTAACCCAGTCTCATTCACTTCTTATCTTTAAAAGGGACTAAAGGGGGGCGCTTGGGTGGCTCAGTCGGTTAAGCGACTGCCTTCGGCTCAGGTCATGATCTCAGGGTCCTGGGATCGAGCCCCGCATCGGGCTCCCTGCTCGGCAGGAAGCCTGCTTCTCCCTCTCCCACTCCCCCTGCTTGTGTCCCCTCTCTCACTGTGTCTCTCTGTGTCACATAAATAAATAAAATCTAAAAAAAAAAAAAAAGAAGTGCCTCCCCTTCTTTAAAAAAAAAAAAGGGACTAAAGGATATGTGTTGATTTCATCAATAACTAAAGAGTAGAGTCTCCAAAATGTTTTTTCTTTTACTAATAAAGGAATATTGAAGAAAATACCCCAATGCATTTATCTGCAAGTTGATATCAATAGGTTTTCCACAAAAGTTTAATTAGCTGAAAAGACAAATTAGTAGATGATAATGACTTTAAAAAAACTATTATACTTATTATACTTATAAATATATCCACTATAGTCTGTATACCATGATGATTTGACACTCAACATTATCCATTATCCAGATTGCATAAACAATCTCTTCAATAGTCTTAAAACTTATATCTGTCTTTTTTTTCCCCATGAGCTATAATTTTCATTCTAGTTTCCACATAGCATTTTATCCCAATGTAATATAATTTCATGCTTGAAAGTCTTATGCTAATCACTCATACTTCTATTTAAGAAAAATATGTACATATTAAAGTTAAAATTATTAAATTCTCTGACCCATAAGTCTTTAAGTGATAGAAAGTTTTGTGTTGAAAAGTCATTACAATGATTATTAGTCCACAATTGATCAAAATGATGCAAATATTATACATTTTAAAAAACTATTAATCATAGAAAGTATTTTTGGAAATGCATCTGTTGTTGATTTGTACTGGTTTATTCAGCAATGAGTTAATATGATTATGAATAGTATATTTTTTGCTAGATTAAACAACATAAATTCAATTCCTATTTTTTGCTTTTATAGATGTAAGTGCTGAGAAACTGTGTTCACATAGTAAGGAAATAAAAATGCGAAGAGTTTTCCTAGTGCACTGTCACTCAATTCTTTAAGTTCCATCCTAGTTTTATGGCAAAAGCCACATAGTAATCTTTCACCAGAATTATTTTTAATGATGTATTGGCTAGCATTTTTATTATGTCTTCCTTCCATGTTCTTTAAAATGAAGAATTGAAAACCACCAGACCTGCAAAAAAGATTTTTTACCTATTTATTAGTTACTCATTTCCTCTTCACTATCACCTATATATATTTGAAATTATCTCTTTGGTGCCACAAAAGTTTTAATACCCAGGAGTATATGCCAAGGTAAGACTGAGTATTAGTGAACAGTATGCCTTTGTTGTGTAAAAGTGAGAGAAGAGTGACTTTGAAGGGGATCCTTGGATCACAGATGAGTTCTCAAGAAGATTTACTTTAGGAGTTAAAATTTAGGAGTCAATGTTAAAGATCTAGTAATTGATTCCCCTTAAAATTAATCTCTTAAATTTATTATTCTTCCCTTCTTACCACATTATTCCCTTTTCACATATTCTAGGGATACATGTACCCTAGTTTGAAGAATGCTGTTTTTGAAAATCTCAAAATAGTGATCAGTATTTAGAGTAGGACGAAAGTCCCTAAAAATAAGACTTGGAATTTGGAGGAGAGTGAATAAAATACATTGTATGGAAATGGTAGTTTATTTGTTTGCTTGTTTACATACAGATGTGCAAAGTTGCTCTTGAACATCCCAACTCAAACCACGGTATCTTAGCACCCAACCAATCTCTTTTATTTTGTAATCGTTCAGTATATTCTCCTCACACTCAGTATCTGGCCTGTATTTTATTATGTCACAGCAGATGTAGTACAACATTCTTTTCTTAGATACAAACATAATACATGGCTACACAAAATATTATGCTTCCATCTCATCCTTGCGATCTTCTCCAATTCAACAAAATGTGTGTGTGTGTGTGTGTGTGTGTTGCAGAGCTTGGGAGGAGTGTCATTACAAAACATTTATAAGTAGAAGATACGCTTCTGACTTGTTGCATTAGCCTATCCCTGTATAAAACTATGATTCAGTCTCACATTGACTATGGATATAGCTTATCTTTGGTTATACTTAAAAACTATTAAACTGCACACTTTAAATAGGTGACTTGTATGATATATGATTACATATCAATAAAACTCTAATAATAGAAAGGGAGTATATTAGAATGAATAACTAACCTCTCAGTAGAACAAGGACCACTAATACAGGGACAGCTAGACACAAGAGCTCTTCTAATTCATGAAGATTAAGAAGCAGATTGAAAATACCTATGCTTATGCAATCACACAAGTGAAAAAAGAACATTACATTATGGGGCGCCTGGGTGGCTCAGTTGGTTAGGCGACTGCCTTCGGCTCAGGTCATGATCCTGGAGTCCCGGGATCGAGTCCCACGTCGGCTCCCTGCTCAGCAGGGAGTCTGCTTCTCCCTCTGACCCTCATGATCTCTCTATCTCATTCTCTCTCTCGCAAATAAATAAAAAATTAAAAAAAAAACAAAAACTGAGAGATGGGTGCCTGGGTGGCTCAGTCAGTTGGGCGGCTGCCTTCGGCTCAGGTCATGATCCCAGGGTCCTGGGATCGAGCCCTGCATCGGGCTCCCTGCTCGGCAGGAAGCCTGCTTCTCCCTTTCCCTCTGCCTGCCGCTCTGCCTACTTGTGCTCTCTATCTCTGTCAAATAAATAAATTAAAAAAAAAAAAAAGAACATTACATTATTATAGAATTCTAAAACTGTGTAGTATTTCTTGAAATTAGAAAGAGACAGTTGAAGAAAACAAAGTGGTTTTTTGTTTTTTTTTTTTTACTTTTTTCTTATATGTATCAACTTACTCAATGGTATAACTAATCTACCCATTATTCTTTAACTGATCAAATGAATACCAAAGTATCTGAAGGAATAGTAATGAATCAGAAAAGGTGGGTGTTTCAAGGGACATAAAAGCCCATTCAGTCACTACTTTTATAGACTTTCCCAGTGTAAGAGGCCCAGAGTGGTAAAGATATCACACAGAGAACTTGTTAAAGGCGGAGTAAGACTAGTCACTGTGTCCTTTAGCTAATGACAAGATGTCTTACCTTAATGCACTGACTCCAGGCCCAGGAGGGGTGGAAGCTTGATAAAAGATTACAGATTATGATTTCTTTGAAAGTAAAGATCGAAGCAGTTTAAAAGCAGGAAAGTTAAGGGCTTAAATTAGAAAAAGAAAAGAAAACTAACTATAGAACATTTCAGTGAAAGCTATGGAGTTAATATCAAAAGGAGGGGGGGTTTCAGTTGAGTCAGTTACCGAAGATATCCACTGAAACACAGGGACCCCACCACGTGTCCCTTGTAGCATTAGACAGACTCGCATCTTGAATCATGACGCTTGAGTCAAGAAGGCCGAACAACTGGGCGGAAGAGAGAAAAGATGACTGATGAGATGGATTCATCACCATGATCCTCTGTGGATGGTCTCCGTCTTCATTCTTCAGATGGAAAAAATACATCACATGGAACTGCCCCATAAAAAGACATAATGTACAACCAAAAAACAATGAATAATCAGTTAAATAAAGATTATTCATGCGATCAGCTTTATTCGTGGTCTATTACTAGATAATTCCAAATTCAATATCCAGGATCTTTGCTGAAATTGTAAATAATCTCTCATACTTAAAGAAGAACTTCAAAAAAACTTTTAAATCACTTATCTTACAACTTTAGAACGTTGTATGAAGTGATTTCTATATTTTATTATTCAAAATAAATTAGAAAGTACAGTCTTTTTAGAACTTTCACCTTAACAAAACATCCATGGAGAAACAGCTCTTTTCACACATCTGGCAAAGGTAAAATTTGTATTATATGGAGGCTGTCAAAACTTAGACCGCCCCAACATTTGCAGGGTCTGGGGCAAAAGTACAAAATAAGGCTCATGTACCATATGTCTGTATATTTAGAAGGTATGAAACAAACCACAAACTATTTAATAATATATGCCCCATCCTCCTACACCAATCAATGCACATTCAAAACAATAAAATGAAAAATATGTGTAAGGCTGTGGATTTTATTTAACTAGTGTAAATGAAATATCCAAGACAGGCTATTAAATTATTTTGGCACATCTATCATTCTGTTGATGTCTCAGTGATACTTAGAAGAATTTTAATCACTATATATTGTTATAATTAAAATTTTCACATAATCAGTGTTCCAATGTCAGTGGTGATCTAAAGGATTAAAAATAACATGTGAATGTAGTTAAAGTATAACAAGTTTGGACATAGTTTCATTGGAAATGTAAACTACAGTGGAAGTAAAAGGAAATTATTGAAATCATTTTTATAAATTTATTAGTGTATTTTTTCTGAAACATTTAAAATTATCTATTAAAATTAACAAGAAAATATATTTACGGGATGCCAATTTTAAAGAGAGAATTTTCAAATTAACAATTTTTTTATTTAATTTTGAGACTCTAATTATGTCTATCCTATCTTTTTTTTAAAAAAATGACCAATTTTACAAATCCGCAGCAGGAAAATGTCAACACATTACACTAAAGTGACCTAATACTTATCGTCCTACAAATATTATGGCTATTTGCTTTAAATTTGGCTAAATTAAATAAGTATCATCAGATTGCTCTTACCCTAAACATTTTGGGGAAAAAACCCTCAGCATTATAATGTATGCGTGTGTGTGTGTGTGTGTTTACTCTTATATCAATTCCTAAATCCTATAACCCAGAAAATAGCCAAAATTATTTTTTAAATAATAAAGAAGTACTTATATGAAGACTTAAGTAAATTTTTCTGGTTTTGAGGGACGAAACCAATATATAATTATTTATGTCTCTAATGCTTTCAAAGGAGCTGTCTTGTGAATAGCGAGTGTCGCTGTGGGCTAGATGAACATGGAGAAGAAAGGAGAGAGCTGCCTGCACCGAACAAGAAACACATTCGCCTGATGCAGCAGTCCTGCACAGTCTCACTGATCATTTCATTAGTGAGCCGAATCACACTGAAGCTTTGAATTCACACTAAACATATTACTGGCGGGCAAACCACAACCTAATCTGTGTCCAGTAAGAGCAAATCAATATTTTTCTCAGCATCTATAACTGAATGACACGAATGAAGTGATTCTCACTACGGGTAAGGGGCTGGCTGTTTAGATTCTTGGGAATCTTGTCACACACAGCTAATAGTGCTGATGATGGCCGAAAAATGTATTCCCCACACTGACCTTTAATTGTCTTTGTTCTTTTCCAGTCCTCCTTCATGTGTCCTCCTCCTTATATTTGGCTATCATTCTGTCGATTCTTTTGTGTTCCTGATTTTAGTTTGATAGCGCATTTGCGTCACAGTGGTTACAAGTGGTTGAGAACTCGGGGGAGCCTGCAGTCCAGCAGCCCTCTGGCCCCGTTGCCCTGATCCCTGCTTCGCTGTCGCCAGACTATCACCCATTCTTGCCAACACCTCTGGTCACAGGGCTGGTGTGCCATCACACATGCATGCCTAGCTGCTTCTCAGTCACAGACTCATCATAAGCTCTTTTGCATGATATCTATAACCACCCAAATCTCACCACACTTTCCCCAAGGCGGTATTTATTCATCTCAGAAAAAAAAAAAGAGGCATTGAGACTATTCTGGGACTTTTACTACATGGACAAATTTGGAAGGCAGTAAAAGCATTTTATTTGAAATAACAATCAAAAGCCAACTTGGAGCATAGCAAGATGGGATTAGACCACCACATAATTAGCCTTACTGGAATCGGTTCCAAGAATGTAAGAATTTACTGAGAGGCAGTATATTTTCTGGAACTATAATCAAAGGTGGATGGGGAGGATAGGCAAGTAAAGACAGCCATTGGGAACTTGAACTTTCACCATCTTGGTTATAGTGTTTTCAAGTATTAACTGTGCTTGGCAAGCAAAAAGCAGTTAAAAGTCCAATAACCAAGTGTAAATTTCACACATCAAAATGTCTTGGAATAGTTCTAGACAATACTTGGCAATCAGCTTTGTAAATGAGTTTTAAACAAGCACTCTTAATGATGAAACAATATAGCAGAACAAATTGTGGTAAGAAAAGCATGTTGTTGATGTCAAAGAAGTCAGCCTATTACGGTAATGCTAACAACACATTTTTTGTCCACACTGACTGTGGTCCTGGTCATGGGCTAATTTCTGGTGCCTGCTTTTAAAATTATCATCCAGGGTGCATGGAGAAATGTGGAAACCTTAGGTGTGTTTAAAAATTGACAATTCAGTTAAACAAAATCTCAGAAATGTAGAACATAACCTGATATATTGACATATATTAACAAGGGACAAAATAGACAATCATCCTTTTAGTCATTTAAATGACACGTTATTTTTTTTTTTTTAAAGATTTTACTTATTTACTTGACAGAGAGAGAGACAGCGAGAGCAGGAACACAAGCAGGGGGAGTGGGAGAGGAAGAAGCAGGCTTCCTGCCAAGCAGGGAGCCCGATGTGGGGCTCGGTCCCAGGACCCTGGGATCATGACCTGAGCCGAAGGCAGACGCTTAACGACTGAGCCACCCAGGCGCCCTTAAATGACACGTTATTAACCCAAACATCACTCTTCTTTTTGTGGCACTCTCCTTAGTGGACATAGATCATTTTTTTATTTTTGGTTAATAGTTACATACATGCGTTTTATTTTATTTTATTTTATTATTTATTTATTTATTTTTAGAGAGAGTGAGTTGAGTGGGGCACCGTGAGAGGGTCAGAGGGAGAGAGAGAATCGTAAGCAGGCTCCACACTCAGCATGGACCCCAACGTGACTCATGACTCATGACACGGAGATCATGACCTGAGCTGAAATCAAGAGTCGAGTACTTAACTGACTGAGGCACCCAGATGCCCATACATGCATGCATTTTAATTCAAAACAATTATTATATGATTCTGATCAACATGTTTATTCAGAAAATAAAAATTGCCAGTTCCTTTTAAGATTTGAAACAAAATTGGATTTTTTCATGACTGAAACAGTATTTACTATTTACACTTAATTTTTTCATAACACTGTATTAGATGGTACTGTGGAGCATGGCAAATAATACATTTTATTCTCCTGAGAGTCCAATACCACATTTGGAAAGAAAAAAATATATGCTAGTTAAAATGAAAGTAACTAAGCAATTATTATCAGTCAAATTCATAATTTAGCTAGTAATAATTAGGGAAATTCAAATGAAGAAGAGTCAGTAGACAAGCCAGGCTGAGAATTTATGTTGAAAGGTCATATGATGGTGATATTAAGAGAGATGACTCTGGGACCAGACAGATCTGGGCTCAAAGTCCAAGCTTTTCCCTTACTTAGCATGTCTCAGCTCATTATTTTTTTTTTTCACCTGTAAAATGGAGACAATAACAATCCTTAACTTTATAATATTGCTGAGAGGATTAGGTGGGGAAACTTAATGTAGAATGCTGGCACATGGGAATAATTTCATAAATGTTTCAGTAAAAGGACAAGTAGAGGCTAGGGTTGCAAAAGAAGTGTGACACATTGCAGGCAAAACAATAAAAGGGGCCCTTTGACTATAGTACAATTAGATACTGTATAAACTATAAGAGATGTCCTCTATAAAGAATTTCTGAGCTTATAAGAAGAAAGGGAAATATTTAAAAGCAGAGAAGAAAATGATGAAAAAAGAGGAGAAGGAGCTGAAAGGGAAGAAGGAAGAGAAACAGAAAAGGAGAAGGAGATGCCTTACAAAGGAATGACTTTAGGCTGACAAAAATATTGTCAATGGCATTGAGGGAAGCCAAAAGAAAATATAATAAAAACTTCAACATTTTGCTGCAAAGTATACGTTAATCTGACATTGTGGCCTACAAAGAACTATCATCCTAGAATTAAAATATAATTAAGGGGCTCCTGGGTGGCTCAGTCAGTTAAGTGTCCAACACTCGATTTCAGCTCAGGTCATTGTCTCAGGTTTGTGAGATTGAGCCCCATGTGGGATGCTGTGCTGAGTGTGGAGCCTGCTTAAGATTCTCTCCCTCTCTCTCTGCCCCTCCCACCACCCCCCTATTCACACTCTCTAAAGAAAGGAAGAAAGAAATGATATAATTAAGATTTGTTTTCAGATAAACACATAAATGAGAGAATTAGCCACTACTACAGAAGGATATACCTTAAGAAAAAAAATAATAATTGTCCCAGAAGGAATAAGAAAGGTTTCTGAAATGCAAGAATGAATGGCAAGCAAAGACATTGTTTAATATGTATGTAAATCTAAAGCAACTGTGCCTTTAGAATCAATACCGTTGCTGCTTTTATTACTTCTTATTGTCACTATTTTTATTAAAGAGCAGAAGCTTTTAGAGGCATAAACTGGTAGGAACACTTCAGGGGTAATTTTGATAATTTTCTGAAGGCAGATTATGGACTAGCTTTAAAATAAGGAATCTCTAGGGGCTGCAGTCTTGGTTAGTCTGCTACACTTTCATTGGTTTACCTTTAGTAAACTTACTATATTCTCATGATGGAGATCCTGGAAAGATACCCTCTAGGCTCTAGCAGGAAGAAGGGAAGTGTAATCATTGTGACACAAGTCTAGATAATTCTCCATTTAAAAAGTCTATTCTCTAAGGAAAAGATTTTGCCAGAGCTTGACCCCAGCTCAAGACTATTTCTGCCATTCCGGCCCCTTCTAGATTTCCTTTCTTATGTAAGGAGGAGAAAAGCTGTATCACTTGAGAAATACTTGTGAAATACATAACACAACTAAACAATGAAGATTTAATCATAAGATTATAGAACGCTTCCATTCTTCCACAACTGACCACCATGTCAGTAGGGCTCTGGCATTATAACAGTGGATAACAGCTAAAAGAACAAGACGCAGACTCCCTCAGAGGAGGAATACTTAAAAGAACCCAGAGTCAAGAGGGGACACAAAAAGAAAGACAGTAGAGGAAAGTGAAGCCTCTGGCACTATGGTAGTGTTAAATGCATCCCGACTCTTAGCCAGATTAACAAATTCTCACACTAAAGGCCTATTTACTGTAGTTTCTGTTACTAACGCAAAATGTTCGGTTTTCATAAAAACTCCGAGGCAAGCCAAAAAGAAAAAAATTTCAGAGCCTGAACAGACAAAGCAAGCACCAGAACCATATACTCATTTATGAGACTGATACTGGAATTCTCATACTGACTACTTAAATAGCTATAGATAATTGTTAAGAGTTCCAAAAGAAAAAAGTAAACAAAATGCATGAACAAACAGATAATATAAGCAGAAATATGGAATAGCTCAGAAATAATCAAAGGGAAATAACAGAAATAAAAAAATATAACAGAAATGAAAAATGCTTTTTGATCTGTAAACTGGATAATGCCAAGGAAAGAATCAGTGAGTTTGAAGATATGTCAGTAGAAACTTCTCAAATTGGAATTCAAAGATTTTTTTCTCTTTTTAATTATTTTTTGGAATAATAATAATAAAGATATTCATCCATCCAAAGATATATCAATAAATGTAAATGGTTACATATGCCAGCAGCAAGACAGAGATCATCAGAGTGGCCTAAAACATAAGCCCCCACTATATTTTCTTCACAAGAAAACCAATTTTAAATATAAAATTCAGATAACTTGGGGTGCCCGGGTGGCTCAGTCATTAAGTGTCTGCCTTCAGCTCAGGTCATGATCCCAGGGTCCTAGGATCAAGCCCCATATCGGGCTTCCTCCTTGGAGGGAAGCCTGCTTCTCCCTCTCCCACTCCCCCTGCTTGTATTCCCTCTCTCGCTGTCTCTCTCTGTGTCAAATAAATAAATAAAATCTTTTTTAAAAAATAAAATAAAAAAATAAATAAAATTCAGATAACTTAAAAGTAAAGGCATGGAGAAAAATATACCATGGTAACATTAATCAAAAGAAAACTGGAGTAGCTATATTAATTTCAAGCAAAGCAGAATTCAGAACAACAAAAATTACCATGGATTAAATAATCCTAGGATTATTTATTTTTTGGATTAAATAATCTTAAGCGGAATAATTCTCCAAGAAGACCTAAAAAACCTAAATATGAATGCATCTAACAACAGAGCATTAAATACATGAAGCAAAGACTGATAGAGAACTCAAAACAGATAGAACTGAAAAGAGAAATAGATGATGGACCAGTCCACTATTACTTTTGGAGACTTCACCCTCCATCTTTCATTAATTGATAAATCAAACAGGCATAAAATCAGTAAGGATATAGTTGACATGAACAGCTTGGTATAATTGATACTTATAAACTATTCTGTCCAACAACAGCAAAGTATATATTCTTCTCACGTTCACATGGAACATTCACCAAGAGACCACGTTCATAGCCATCAAACAGCTTTAACAAACTTAAAAGAAATCACATAAAGTATGTTCTCAGACCACAGGGATTAAATTAGAAATCAATTACGGAAAGGTCGACAGAAAATATCCACAAATATTTTTAATTAAGCAACACTCTTATAAATAACACAGGTCAAATAAGAAGTCTTAAAATTATAAATTTTTTGAACTAAATGAAAATAAAAACATAACATCAAAATTTGTGAGATGCAGCAAAAACAGTGCCAAGAGGGAAGTTTACAACATTAAATACATCAATTAGAAAAGAAGAAAGATCTAAAGTAAATAACCTAAGTTTCCATCTTACAAAAGAAGAGACAGAAGATGAATTTAGATGTAAAGAAAGCAGAAGAAAATAATAAAAATTGAAGCAGAAATCAATAAAATTAAAAACAAAATGATAAACTCAACAAAATCGAAAGATGGTTCTTTAAAAGATCAATAAAATTGATAAATCTCTAGACAGGTTAATAAAAAATAGAAAAGAGACAAATTACTAATATAAGAAAGAGGGCCAAGTCTGCTGGGTGGCTCAGTCGGTTAAGCATTGACTCTTGATTTTGGCTCAGGTCATGATCTCAGGGTCATAAGATGGAACCATGTGGGGCTCTGTGCTAAGCGTGGAAACTGCTTATGATTCTCTCTCTCCTCCCCCTGTCCTTCCCTGCTTGCACTCTCTCTCTCTCAAGAAGAAAAAAATAAGAAGAGGAAAGAGGTCCTATCTCTACTGATCCTATGACATTAAAAGGATAACACGAGAATATTATGAACAACTCTATGCCCACACATTTTATAACCTAGATGAAATGGACCAATTCCTCAAAAGACACAATCTACCTAAAACCCATACAAGGAGAAGCTGACAATCTGAATAGGCTTATATGTATTAAAGAAATTTATTAAAGTAACTAATAACCTACCAAAGCTGAAAGAAACAGGCCCAGATGGGTTTACTGCTAAAATCTACCAGATATTTAAAGAAGATTACATACCAAATCTCTATAATCCTTTTCAACAGATAGCAGCAGAGGGAGTGCTTCCCAACTCATTCTATGAGACCAGCATTATTATTATTTTATTTATTTATTTATTTATTTATTTATTTATTTATTTATTTATTTATTTCTGAGAGAGAGAGAGAGTGGGGAGAGGGGCAGAGGGAGAAGGAGAGAGAGAATTTTAAGCCGACCCCATGCTCAGCAGGAAGCCCGATGTGGGGCTCAATCTCACGACCCTGAGATCATGACCCGAGCCGAAACCAAGAGTCAGGCACTTAACCAACTGAGCCACCCAGGTGCTCCAAGAGATCAGCATTATTTTTATGCCAAAGTCAGATAAAAACATTACAATAAAGGAAACTACAGACCAATGTCTCTCAAGAACGTTAGATGCAAAATCCTCACAAAAACATTAGCAAATCAATCAAACAGTAAATGAAAAAATTGTACACCAAACCAAGGTATTCCAGGTATGCAAGGCCAGCTCAATATCTAAAAAAATTAATGGAATCTACTACCTAAATAGTCTTAAAAAATCATGTGATTGTAGCAACTGATGCAGAAAAAGAAGCTGACAAAATTCAACACCTATAAATGATAAAATCTCTCAGAAAACTAAGAACAGAGAACTTTCTCAACCTTATGAGGAACATCTACAAAAGAATTAGAGCTAACATCATACTTAATGGCGAGAAACAGGATGCTTTCCCGCTAACATTAGGATGAAGACAAGTATGTCCTCTCTTACTACTCCTATTAAGTAATATTGTGGAAGTCCTAGCTAGTGCAATAAGGTAATAAAAGGAAATAAAATGTATACGAATTGGAAAGGAAGAAAAGAACTTTGTTCTTTTCCATGTGAACTTGAGAAGAATATATACTTTGTCTTTGTTCACAGATGACATAATTGCCTATGCAGGAAATGCCAAAGAATCAACAAAAAACTTCCTGGAACTAATAAGCAGAAATAGTGACATCATGGGGTAAAAGATTAATATGTAATAGTTATTTTTGCTCTCCTAGGTACTAGTAATAAACAATTGGAATCTTAAATTAGAAACATACCATTTACAATAGTAACAAAAAAACACAAGAAAAGAAATACTTTGTTACCAGTTTAACAAAATATGCACAGGATCTATATGTGGAAAATTACAAAACTCTAAGGAAAACAATCAAAGATGTAAATAAATGGAGAGATATAGTGTATTTATGGTTGGAATATCAGTGTCATCAAGATGTTAATTCTTCCTAACTTCATCTATAAATTCAGTGTGGTGTCCTGGTAAGTGAGGATGGGCAATATGGAGCTGCAAGCAAAAATCCAGGCCAATAAAGAGGGAGCTGCTTCCTTGGTCCGTCCAGGCTCCTACCAGAATCTCAGCTATTTTCATGTTACTATTTCATTGCAAAGGAGTGAGAAAATTAAATCCAAAGAAAGATTAGAAAGATAAGACAAAGTAAAAGAAAAGCTGTTCTCAAAGCATTTCCAGGCTGCCTGGAATGGAGCCCCTCAGACATAGGAAGAGGCTTATCACCCACCAGCTGCATGGCAGACAAATAACTAAAAAAAAAGTTGCATCCCAGTAAATGCTGGCCCCCCAAGAAGACTAGAATTCTTTGACTTCCAAAGCTTCATCCTTTTTTTTTTTTTTAATTATTATTTAAGAGAGAGGGGGCAAGGGGCAGGGGCATGAGGGGAGGGGCCGAGGGAGAGTGAAAGGGAGAGAATCTCAAGCAGACTCCGTGCTGAGCGTAGAGCTGGTCATGGGGCTAGATCTCACAACCCTGAGATCATGACCTGAGCTGAAACCAAGAGTCAGCTGCTTAACCAACTGAGCCACCCAGGAGCCCCCAGAGCTTTATCCTTTTTCTTTAGTTCCCTAGAAAAGCTGACATCTAGCACAGTCGTCCCACAAATGGTCTTAGATATGATGTATCTGAAAGCATCTCTCCTGACACTGAAGTATGATGTAAAAATAAACTTCAGTGTTCTAGAGATTAAAAAAAAAGTTCAAGGTGACAGAGACACATGTACAAAAGAAAATCTGAAGAGAGCTGATGTCAGACAAGGCTTTATTCATTTGCTAGGGCTGCTGTAACAAAGTACAACAAACTGAGTGGCTGAAACAGAATGTATTTTTTCACAATTCTGGAGTGTCAGCAGGGTTGGTTCCTTTTGAGGGCTATAAGAAAGATCTGTTCCATGCCTCTCTCCTAGTTTCTAGTGGTTTGCTGGCACCAGTTAGCATTCCTTGTCTTCACCCCATGCATCTCCCCAATCTCTGCCTTCATATTCATGTGGCATTTTGAACCCATGTCTGTATTCAAGTTTCCCCTTTTCATAAGGACACAGGTCATATTGGATGAGGACGCATCCCAATTACCTCACTTTAACGTCATTACCTCTGTAAAGACCTTACCTATCTCCAAATAGCCCACATCCTGAAGTACTGGAGGTTAGAACGTTAATATATGAATTTGGGAGTGGGGGAAACACAACTCAGTTCGTAACAAAGGACAATGTAACCTTAATACCAGTAAGTATAGGAAGCTGGCTTCATAATGTGCTATAAACGTAAGAACATTTATTAGGGGTTGCAAGTGTGTTTTTGGTAATAATACATGTTTTTGGAAGTTAAAAGAAAGCAAGATCAATTTTCATGTACCTTGGGCTAATAAAATGGTGTGATAAATAGGTTGATAATGCCCAGGATATGAGAAATTAGAATAAATTTAGTGAGTACAGGGAAGACATAAAACACACATGTTTATACAGTGCTCAGCCCGGCATAATCTAAAGAGCCTTGAATCAATGCTTAATTTAAAAACTGGGGGCGCCTGAGTGGCTCAGTCGTTAAGCATCTGCCTTCGGCTCAGGTCATGATCCCAGGGTCCTGGGATCAAGCCCTGCATCGGGCTCCCTGCTCAGCGGGAAGCCTGCTTCTCCCTCTCCCACTCCCCCTGCTTGTGTTCCTTCTCTCACTGTCTCTCTCTCTCTCTGTCAGATAAATAAATAAGATCTTAAAAATAAAATAAAATAATTAAAAAAAAATAAAAATAAAAACTGGTAAACAATGCATTGTCCCTAAAACTGAGTGTGAATTGCCAGTTTGGGCCTTCCTATGCTTCTCTCATGAAAAACCAGCAGCATCCACATGAAGAAAGGTAAAGAATATATTTTTATTTCTTTCCTTCTATGTCTCATAGCTCAGAGGCCTGAGCTGTATCAATGAAAATATGAAGCAGTTGACTTTCTCTTGCAAACATGCTGCTCATTGATGTTGCCAGAGAAAATCTCTCATCCCAATTCTATTGTCTAAATCTACCAAGGGAAGTGACACAATCTATCCTTGAAGGTATGGTCTCTCAGTGTGGTAGATGGAGTGTAAAAGACAAAGGCACAGCTTTCAAGGAGCTCACTCCCCTTTGGAAAAGACAGTGACATCTCTATAGTAGATATTTTTCCTTTGTACTTGTCCAGAATCATTACCTGCCTTCTTATGAATATTAAGTTTTTCCATATTATGAGTTCTGGCTTCCAAATATAGAACCTGGTGGGGGGGGGGGGAGCCTGGGTGGCCCGGTCTGTTAAGGGGCGGACTCTTGATTTCAGCTCAGGTCATGATCTTGGAGTCATGGGATCAAGCCCCGTGGTGGGTTCCACTCTCAGCTCGGAGTCTGCTTCTCCCTCTCTCTCCACCCTGTCTGCTCCTCCCCGCCCCCGCTCTCTCTCTCAAATAAATAAATCTTTAAAAATAAATAAATAGGGACACCTGGGTGGCTCAGTCCGTTAAGCGGCTGCCTTCGGCCTGGGTCATGATCTCAGAGTCCTGGGATCGAGTCCCACATCGGGCTCCTTGCTCAGCAGGGAGCCTGCTTCTCCCTCTGTCTCCCTCTGCTTGTGCTCGCTCTGTCAAATAAATAAAATCTTTAAAAAATAAATAAATAAATAAACAAACAAACAAACAAATAAATAAATAAATAAATAAAAATAAATAAATAAATAAATATAGAACAGAAAACTCACATATCCAATTTCTGTAGCTAAGGTATACAGTCTAGGTCTCACCCATCATTTGCATCCAAACAAATGAGCAAATAGAAGAGGCATGGAAATAGTGTGGGGAGAACCAGTCACCCGGCAGGTGGGGCAGATGCAGGTGAATCCCAGGGTGACAGGGCTGGACCTCCAGTTCAAAGTGTCAAATGACTGAGTGATCGTGGCTCAGTACTATTGCCAGAGATCTCCACACAGCATGGTTGAGAATTGTTACCAGTTTAACACAGCCTCGGGGTCTATACTTGAGCCCTCCTGGAAATTCTGAAAGTTGTCTGTAATAGTTAATAATTTCCATGCCCTCTCAAAGAGGTCAGAAAGCAGCCTCTTATTTTGTTATTTACACCTGAGAACCTCTGAACAATAAAGTAATCTACTGTAAAATGCTAACTACTGTGAAGAAAACAAACTGGTTGGTAAGAAAAAGCAGTGGTCCCCAAACAATTTTTGCTTACAACCCCCTTAAGAAATTTTAAGTTGGTATGGACCTCCAGCATGTTTTTAAGTGACATCCAATTTCTTCATAGGAGCCTAAATACTAATAGAGAATGTAATTTCTGTAATATGGCATATATTGACATTTTAAAATAAAATAGTTGCGATACTTTTAAATGTGTCCAATGCAAATGTATATGTTCGGAAATGTACCTCTTTTTTAAAAAGATTTTATTTATTTGACACAGAGAGAGAAAGAGAGTGCACAAGCAGGGGGGAGGGACAGAGGGAGAGGAAGAGGGAGAAGCAGGCTCCCCGCTGAGCAGGGAGCCCGATGTGGGGCTCGATCCCAGGACCCTGGGATCATGACCTGAGCCGAAGGCAGACGCTTAACCGACTGAGCCACCCAGGCACACCAGAAAATGCACCTCTTAATGAGATGAATAGGGTTTGTTTTTTTAACACTTCAGTTAGTTTATATGTCGATGGTTAAATATAATACTTTGCTAGAGTAAGTCAATTCCATTGTTATTTTTCATTTTAATATTTGCAAGCTTTGAGAATACTCCTTAACATACATAATTAGATGGTAATTGAAGGAACTGTATTAGAGCAATTTTATTTCTTTGAACGTCTTATAAGTTATATGTCAAAAATGACATCAGGATGTCCCAATTGAATTCTCAAATAATATATTGTTAAAAATAGTGTTGATGATAGACCACAATGACATACATTTTTTTCAGTTTCAATGATACCCAAGTGCCCTTTCCAAGAACTATCCAATAACTATTGATTACATTGGTTACATTTTCACATTTAATTCAATAAGCTCAGAAAACTTTGCAAAATCAAAATGTTATTATGTATTACACAGTTACCAATACAATATTCCTAATAAGAGGTTTTTATCTTACTATGTGCACAAAATCTATTTTTATTAAAATCTTGAAGCTGCAGCATTAGCATATTCAAATTGTGGAAAATATTTGCTTTGTTAATTAAGTTGGTAAATCAAATCTTCACTGTCATTTCAAATATACAGATTAGTCCTATTTTATTTTAGAAAAACACTTGATTTTTAATTTCAGACAAGTGTTAATAAAGCATTTCAATAAGTATCATAAAACCACTAAGAAGTCAATCATAGTATACACTGTGAAAGATAGTTCAGTAAAATCAGTGAATGTTAAAAAGATATAGAAATTATCTAATCAACCTTTATACATTATAAAAATGAGATAATATATCATTATAGTTTTTTCTGCTTAATTTTTAATGATACCATATCAGTAACTAAAATTACTTATGGTAGGGCATGATAAAAAATATGATACAGCCTTAAAAGTACGTGAGTACAAAGTCAAATTCTAATGGTTGGCTTTTGGGAAAAAATAAGAATTGATAATAAAAATCTGTAATAATGTCACTACTTTTGTTAAACATCATGATAAAATTTTTTCTATGTATTAATGCTAGTACACAGTAATAAAACATAACAGAAATTACAACAAACATCATGTAATTTCTCTTTTTTTGTTAGTAGGAGGTAGAAAATATTAAATAATTTATGAGATAAAATAATGAGCATTTATTAAAATTAGAAAAATAGGTCAAGATGTGATTTGAGTTTGTTTACCTTATTGCCTAATGTTCACTTAAAGCTATAAAATTATATATGAGTTTTGTCCATATATTTTTATCAAATGTATATTGAAAATTTTGATAATGTTAAAGAACATCTAGTTAGCAAGTAACAATGAGGATTAGCATTAGAATTGATGCAACTTCGACACCTTGAAAGGGATTGTTTTTAAGAGAAGATAAAGTATTTCAGAGATGAACATTAAAATTTCTGAAAATAATTGCTTGAATTTAAATACATTTTTAAAACTTTTTTTCTTGCATTCAACATTTCTTTCTTATGCTTTCTTAGCTTTGCTCTCATAGTACCCTCTCTTAAGAGTGATTGTCTTGGGGCACCTGGGTGGCTCAGTTGGTTAAGCAACTGACTCTTGATTTCAACTCAGATCATGATCTCAGGATCCTAGGATCAAGACCAGCACCAGGCTCCACACTCAGCAGGGAGTCTTCTTTTTTTTTTAGGATTTTATTTATTTACTTATTTTTTTATTTTTATTTATTTGAGAGGGAGAGAGACAGAGATAGCGAGAGT